CCCCCCCGGGGGGGGATGGCCACACCGCAATCCCTTCTCCTCCCTTGTCCTCTTGGGATCTTGGGCACATACGCACACGGGCCTGTCATGAGTTTAAGCCACCAGGTCTGGGACTCGACTACATGGGAGTTCAGCGACATAGCCATTACACCAACTGCTGGTCCCAACAATTCTATTTACAATAGCATCAAAATACTTAGAAATAAATTTAACAAAATAGGTTTAAGACATGTACATTGAAAAGTATAAAAACACTGTTGAAATTAAAGATATTAATAAATACAAAAATGTCCCATGCTTATGGGATTTAAAGATATAATGTTGTTAAGATAAGAATATTACCCAACTTGATCTATACATTCAAGGCAATCCCTACTATTATCCCAGCTGCTTTTTGATAGAAATTGACAAATTGATCCTAAAATTGATATGGAAATTTAAGGGACCCAAAATAGCCAAAACAATCCTAAAAAAAATAATAAAAGAACAAAGCTGGAGAATTCACACTTCTTAATTTCAAAACTTTCTACAAAGATATAGTAACCAAAATTATATAGTACTGACATAAGGACAAACATATAGATTGTGAAATATAATTAAGAGACTAGAAATAAAATTCCATATTTATGATGAACTGATTTTTTTATAATAGTGCCAAGAAAATTAAATGAGGAAAGAAGAATCTTTTTAACAAATGGTGCTGGGATAACTGGACATCCACATGAAACAGAATGAATTTGGACTTCTTCCTCATATCACACATTCAAAAATTAACTCAAAATCCATCAGACACCTAAATGTAAGAGCTAAACCTATAAAACTCTTAGAAGAAAATACAGTAGTCAATCTTCATGATTTTGGGTTAGGCAATGCCTTAGATACACTGCCAAAAACATAAGCAACCAAAGAGAAAAATATATCAACTGGGTTTTGTCAAAATTAAAAACTGCTCTGCTTCAAAGGACACTATCAAGAAAGGAAGAGGCAATTCACAGAATGGGAGAGAATATTTGCAAATAACATATCTGATAAGGGATTTGTACCTGAAAAATATGCGTATATTAAAAAGAAAGAAAAAATCCTTTGGGGCCAGCAGGTACCATGGTGGTTAAGGTTCTGGATCCCACATGGCCAACTCCACAGTTTGAGTCCCAGACCTGGAGGCCTGAGAATCACACTAGGAATATGTGCATGCATGCCCAAAATCCTAAGAGGAGAATGGAAGAGAAGGTGTTGTGGCATGGTTATCCCCCTGGCAGGGGAGGGATAATTTCTCACTTTCCCTCCCTCTCTGTCTCTGTCTCTGTCTCTCTCTGTCAAGTACACATGCCACATGGCAAAACAAACAAACAAACAAAACTCTTACAATGCAATGATAAGAAGATAAATAACCTAAGTTTTTAAATTGGCAAAGGATCTGAACAGACACATCTCCAAAGAAGATCTACACATTTTCAATAACCACATGAGAAGAGGATCAAAATTATTAGTCATCAGGGAAATGCAAAGTAAAAGCACAATGAGATTTTACTTTATACCCTCTAGGATAGCTATAATCAGTAAGACAATAAAAACATGTTATTGAGGAGGGGGAGAAATTGAATCCTTTACACATTGTTGTTGGAAGTGTAAAGCATTGTAGCCATTTGAGAAAACAGTCTGGAACTATCACAAGAGGTTAAACTTTAGAGTTACCTTATAACTCAGTAATTCCACTCCTAGGCATATACCCAAGAGAAATGAAAAAGTTCATAGTAGCTTTATTCATAATGGCTAAAAAGTGGAAACAGGAGCAAAATAGCATTACAACTGTAAAACATGACTCTCTGAAAGGCTGACCCAAATAAGACATATTTGTGTTTGTGTACAGAGACCTCCCTGAGTATACTGGGAACATGTGTGCCCATGATCAAGTCTGGCTGAGGTAGGAGGTGGATTGTAGCATCAGTACTTCGTTGGGTTTCCTGTCTATCTCTATGTCTTATTCATGGAATAAATAAATAAATAAAATTTGAAAACCAGAAATAACTCAAATGTCCATCCACTTATGAATTAATAAATACAATGAGGTATTTCCATACAATGGAATACTATTCATTAATAAAAAGAAAGCTACATCTTGCATGAACCTCAAGAACACTGTGCTAAGTGAAAGAAGTCAGACACAAAAGATGACAGTTATACACATTCATTTCTATAACATGTTTGGAATAGGCAAAAATCTATAAAGACAGAAAGTAGATTAATGCCTAAGGTTAAATAATGCTGTGGTAGGTGGAAGGAAATGGGAATATCTAATGATACAAGAGTAATTTTTAAAGTTTGTTAAAAAGTAGAATTAGGGCAAGCCCATGGCATGGTATTAATTACCCACATGGATCCCACATGACCAACCACACAGTTCGAGTCCCAGACCGAGTGGCTTGAAAAACATGCCAGGTGCATGTGTATGCTTGCCCAAAACCCCAAAAGGAGGGAGAAATGGAGGAGAGGGGACTGTGGCCTGACCATTCCCCATGGGTATGTCGGGGAGGATACATTTTCTTTCTCTTTCTGTCTCTCTGTCTGTTTCTCTGTTGAGCACATGTGCTCTCTTGCAATTTTTTTTAAAGAAAAAAGTAGAATTAAAGTATGGGTGTATTTTGGTGCAAGAATATATTGAAAATTATGCATATTTTTAATAATATGTATTTTCCATGAACTTTTTGAAGACTCCTCATGGGTATGGGGTACCTTTTTCAGGCAATAAAAATGTTCTAAAATTAGAATAGATTGTGATGATAGTTGTACAACATGGTGAATATACTAAAAGCCATTGAGTTATACTCTTTCTATAGGAGTTATATGGCATATAAATTACATCTCAATAAAGCTGTTAAAATATAGTTATGAATTCAGAGAGAATACTATGATCTGTTTATAAAGCTAAAGTCATTTTTTATCTCTGTAACATAAGGGACATCATCTATGCTGATGTCTTTTTATTTTTTTAAAGAATTATTTATTTATTTCTATTTGTTATTGTTATTTTATTTTCTTTATTTGACGAGAGAGAGAGAGAGAGAGAGAGGGGAAGAGAGAAAA